CGTCGATCATCAGTATCCCAAAATTGAGAAAAATCTACTGAAAAAACATTGCGATGGAGCATCCAATCAGTTGGAAGAATTTGGTTGTGTCAAGACAGGTGATCTGCTATTAAATTCATCACCCCTGGAACATGACAAGCCAGAAAGCTGATATAATGGGAGTGAGCCCAGTAGAGAATATCCAAAGTTCGAAAACAAAGGTCCCGAGAACACCTGCCCCTTTGATGGGAAATATAAGAAGCCACCGTGGAATTGTTGGAAGGAATCATGATGATTTTCCCCTTCAATAGATTGAGATCTTGAACCATTGCCTGTCGGACAGCAAGAAGTTCTAAAATATTGATGTGGAAGGAAGATTCATCTTCCATCCATAGACCCTGGAATTCCTGACCATTGTTATACGCACCCCATCTCTGAAGTAGGGGAATCTGTGAAGAGATGAATCTCGGGACAAGGGGGAGGTACAGGAACAGCAATGGTAGTGCTGACCCGATCCAATATATTGCACCTGATTAATGAAACTGGATGATTCAGTGGATCGCAGTTCATGATCCATTGGTCGTGCACTGACCACTGAAGAGACTGCATGTGTGCTCATCCCAAAGGAATCAAGAGATATGAAGGATGCCCACATGGTTGAGATGAGCACAACATCTGGGCACAACAAATAAATGGGAATAAAATTTCAAAAGAATGGGATCAACTCTCTCTACCCCTTCATACAATACCTCTCTGATGGCCTGGGAACAAATATCTACACTATGCAGATCTGTTGGGAGTGGAAATACCACTGGTTTTGAGGATAATGGAGGTGGAGAAGTGAACAGAATAACCAACATCCGATGCCTCAAGTACCCATGGATATGTGTCCAGGTGTCCAGAAAATGTTGTAACCTCTCACAAACCCCACCCATATAGGATAGTCACTAACACTGTTGGCAACACTTTACCCAAGCAGAGTAGTCTCATAGATAAAGAGTACCAATAGATTGAGGAGCAGAAGCCAGGGGTCAGGACACATCACGAGCAGTCACGCCTTGACTTCCAGCAGGAGCCAAAGAAAGTCTAGATGCCAACGATGCCAAAAAAAAAATGCAAACAGGTGACATCAATTTGTGATTCCAACACCTCCAGGACACCTGTGAAGGAATGAAGAAATGGAGCCTCACATAGGTCACAGGGGACTACAATAGGTAGATGAACTCCTACGAACAAGGCATCTCTACCCAATAAATCCCATCAACTTACAAGCCAGGAAACCAAAGAAAGAGCAGAAGCTGACAATCTTACCAAGGCAGAAGTCAGTATAGGACCAATTCGTCCTCAAATTGATGTGGGGACCACTGATAGGCTTCCGACAAAATTTGGAGGGAAGGTAAATATCTCAGAACAGTAGTGAGGGTCAGACAAATCTGAGAAAATTGTGATCTGTTCAAAGTGTTCACAGGGTCCAGTCTGGAACCCCACATATCGAAAAGAGGATCATGTCTTTGGGAATCTAAATATACGTCCTCTTGGTGGTGGTAAACCAAAGCATGCTGTTCAGACAAACATGGAGGACAAGGCATAACTATCCCATCACATAATGGAGTAGTAATTCTCCCAGCACGAAGAGCAATATCTGGTGAATGAGGAAAAACAGTCATCAAGGAAGGAGTAGATTCAAAGCAACTGGAGAAAGTCCAAAACCTTACAAACCCGACTGACCAACTGAAGAAATGGAGCAGGAGGTGGCTGGTCCAAATTAGCCTTGTGAGAAGCTGACTTAGTAAACAAAGGTGCCGAAACAACAGAGTCCAAATTTTCTCCAGCCTGTCCATAAGCAAAAGCAGCCTCAGAACTCCCTAGACCAAATATATGTCTCCATCTCACAATGATTCAGATCACAGACAGCCTCAACTGAGAGTGACTCCTGACCTATGAGAGATGCTAGATAACAGAGGTCAATTAGAGGAGGGCTGATCAGTCTCTGTGCTAAAAACAGTAACCTCTGAATTCATGCCAGAAAACGGCATAACAGTAATAAATATTTTTTAATTAATGGTTATTAAATATAATTTATACAGAAATACCCTAGGTGGCACAAATATTGCAACCAACAACATTAACTATTGCAGTACTTCTGTAGAGAAACCCATGTCTAAATGCTTTGTCGAGAAAAAGTGATCAAATTATCTAAATGAGGTGCTTTTATACAGTACCAAGAAAGAGGGCACATTGATGTAGGTGGAGAGTATCACGAAAAAGATATATTTACTCTGCTCAATAAGCAATATCAGTAAAGCATTATCTTTATTCTGCTTAATAACCAATATCAGTAAAGCATTATCTTTATTCTGCTTAATAACCAATATCAGTAAAGCATTATCTTTATTCTGCCTAATAACCAATATCAATAA